GCGTAACGTGTATGTTATTATTTACCCCTGTTAAAACTAGCTCCAAACTCCCAGTAAATATACTGGGTCCACAAGCAGCCCGAGCGGTAAAATCGCTGAACTCGATTCCAGGCTGGTTGCATTGGCGATTTTATGGTTTTCCTGTATATGAGTCTTTCCCTAGAAAGTCCTTCACGAAGGCATTCCTCCTCTTAGGCAAATATAGCCCTAATATTGTTTGCCATAATCAACAAAAGCAAATCATCCTTATTTACTGTTCATTCACTCTTGTTTCTTGTAGTATCATCTAATGTCTTTAACTTACTGTCTGTTTTATTGTTCCATTAATTTTCACGGCATATTTATCAATTATTATTATTTAAATTATATACATATTAATTAAAATTAAATTATTATTACATGGCATTTTGTATTTAGCTTTATTTTAATTACGTACGCACTGCCTTGAGAACAAATATTTGACTATTTTTTGGAAGGGAAGAGGAGAAAAATTAGCCTCTTAATCACACATAATATTTATCATAGTTGTTCAGAATTTAAAATCAATTTTCCATACGTTTTTCAGGCTTTTAATTTAAAAATTAAGCTCTAACATCAAGGCAAAGAACGAATTTCCAAAGCGAGAGTAGTTTGTTAAGAACATGCAAATTGCTACTTTAGCCTTAGAGCAGGTCTAAGTCTTGTAAGAGACACTTTTCGCGGTTTCATATTTTTCACGCTGGTCTTCTGATCGAGCTCTCATTTACCAATTAGCATGGACCTTGTTAAAATCCTTTCTTATAAGGTTCATGCCAGTTCACCGCTCGTGTTCAAGCAGCAACACCCTCTGAATCTATGAGCTAATCCAAAGAGCGCTGACTCCGGCCTTAATCTTCGAGATGGTGTTGGTCTTCTGATTCTTCGAGACGCGTCGATCTTCATCGAGACATCACTGACCACTTAACATGGATCTTATAAGAAATTATTCTTGTAAATTCCATGCCAGTTAACCGCTCGTGCTCAGGCAGCAGCATCCTTTGAATCTATGAGTTAGTCAAAAGGGTGCTGACTCCGGCCTTATTCTTCGAGATGTTGTTGGTCTTCTAATTTTTCGAGACGTCATTGACCAGTTAATATGGACTTTACGTGGAAACTTTCTTATAAGATCTATGCCAGTTAACCGATTGTGTTATGGCATCAGCATCCTTTGGAACTATGAATTAGTCCGGAAGTGTGCTGATTCTGACTTTATTCTTGAGATGGTATTCGTGCGGACCGACAAGGCTTCGATTCAGTAACACATCTTCTTGTCAGTTTCAATCCTCCTGCGTCATATAGGTTTAAGCTAAAATGGGAAGACATTATAATTACACAAATATGCTGGAATGGGTGCACATTTAGTGGCCTAAGAGTTTCTTTTGTCAACTGCGATAGTTTTTGTCATTATTGCTTAAGATTGAAAGGATCCATTGCTTGAAATGAATGGATTCTTAAGAATTGGCTTATTTCTTAATTCAGAATGAATCACGAAATCCTTACTAATTTTATAGAACCTATCTATCGATTCAGGTTTATCTACATTTAAAACCGTGTAAATATCACACTACAGGTATTAAATTATATATGACTTCTATCATCTGACTGGTTCTGATTAACGTAAAATATTTATACCCTTTTGCCTACATTCCATGAAGTTTTTATACCCCTGACTAGTCTATGGACGTTTCTAACGGCAAAAAAATGCATTATATTGAGAAACATGCAGCAACCCTATAAGGTATGTCTCCCGCCTTCTTAGCATGCCTTCGTGGTGTAATCGTTAGCACACTCGACGCGAATTCGAGAGGTCCGTGGTTCGAGTCCCGGCGAGGGTATTGCTCATTTTTCATCTTTCCTGCTTCGAAATAACCTAATGGCTCTACAGTGGCGCCTGAACTAAAAAAGATGGTAGATGATGATTCTCCAGGATTTATGATGATTCTCTAGGATGATGATTCTCCAGGATCTCCAGTGATTTCTCAGGATTTGTTGACTAGGTCCCTAATCCCCAGGGTTAAATAAGGAAGTAGTAAGTAGTAATGTATTTTCTGCCTCCTTCCAATACGCGTTCATAAAGTAATAGTAGCACACTCGGCGCGCATTCGAGAGGTGCAGGTTGGAATCCTGGGGAAAGCATTACTCATTTTTCATGTCTTCTGCTTCAAAGTAGCCCAGTGACTCTACACACTTATAAGGTATTTCTCCATCCTTCTTCGCATGCCTTCGTGGTGGGGTGGTCTGCACGCTGGGCGCTTATTCCAGAGGTCCACGGTTCGATTCCCGGCGAAAGCATTGCAAATTTTTCATTTCTCCTGATTCCAAAAATGCCTAATGCCTCTACACACTAATTACTTCGAGTTTTTTTCTAAGGGTTCTAAGGGGGTTTCTAAGGGTATCTTAAAGTTTTCAAAGTTTTTTTTTTCTTGTTTTAAAGAATCTTTTCGTCAGATTAGATAATATTTTCGCTGCATGGCGTATTTCTAAAACGATTCTTCATCATTCATTTTAAAAAAGTGTACCACAAATGTGCACGTCTTAATACCTTAGGAAATAAAGCCGATAACCACCTTTTTCGCGCATTTGATGTAACTCCCATTCCGCTAGTCCAGGGGTTGTCAACCAGTGGTACTCGTACCACTGATGGTACTCAAGAGAAATATAGGTGGTACGCAAAGAACTATTTTTAATTATTAATATTAAAAAAACTCGTGAAGAAAAAGAAAAAAAAAATGATAGAAATTTCCTGTGATCGAACTGGAACTGAAGATTTCAAAAATAATACATTTGTGAACTTTTGTCTGAACCGAGAAATAACTTTAAAGGCATTTCAAATAAAGCTATTATTTTTTAAATGCATTTTTGCGCAACTTATTTGTGTAAACAAGGATTTTCTTCCATGTCATATTTAAAATTAAATGTGGATCCTAATTTACGATTAAAAAATGAATTGAAATAAGACCAGACACAAAGACATTTGTCTCTCTTAAACGAGCCCAAAGTTCGCACTAAATTCTATAATTAAAGTATTATAACTTAAATTTTGGAAAAAAAAATGGTAACCCATTTTTAATCTAAAATATTTTTATGTATGCATATTTAATACAAACAGCCAATAGGCTGTGCAAATGGCAAAATATATTTATTTTTAATATTTCTATTAAGAAGTTGAAAAATAATCATTGTAAAATGTAGCTGTTGTACTTAGGTTTAGTTTTTATTTAGATGATACACGTTAGTCGAAAGGTTGAGAACCGCTGCCCTAGTCACTGGAGCAAAAGTTATTTTTGCATGGATTTCGTAATGGATTGACTGCTAAACGATCCAGGAATTTGTCTTTATTTTTAGGCTACTTTCTTTACATTAAAAAAAGAGACGGGAATGTAAGAAATGATGTGACTGGAATATGTTGCAAACCTAAGCTCTTGTTATTTTAAGAAATTACAAGTTTCCTGTTTTTAGAGTAACGGGAGGTGTTTGGAATGAAATCTTTTGCCATTTATCTTTATTTGGGGACGTTATGCTGCTTGATGTCCACAGATATTGTAGGATTTGAGCGTTAAACAGTCTAGTCACGCATGAAAACCAGGAATTATTGTTGGAAATCAGAGATTTCGATACATTCCCCGCCGGAAACACATTCCATATTGCATAAACTTACTTATATTTCCTTCCAAAAAGATTCAAGAATGCATATCCCTTTTTTTATTTCCATCTTTTCGTGGTCTGAATGATCCGCAATTTTTTTTAACCCCTCTATATCTCTATTTCTTTAAAGAAAGAATTTTGCTTTTAAATTTGACATATAAATAATATGACTGTGCATTCTCGTTATAGTCGTAAGTTACACTGTGATACAAGGTGGCCAACATTATGCAGCCAATTAAAACTGATCGTGAAAAATTTCAGGTAAACCACATATGAATAGATAACTTTTTTGTCTATCAGACATTTTGAAGCAGAAAAAATTAGCGATGACCTGTCCAGAATTTGTAGTTTAAAACCTCCTGGCTATCAGTGTCGGAAGTGTTTCCAATTACACCACGAACGCATGGGGTAAAGAAGAAGAAAGTGTCTTATATTCTATCCCACTTAAAGGGTAATCCGAGTTGAAGGGTAACTAGTCGCCAAATCAAAGGGTAATCCGAGTGGAAGGGTAACTAGTTGCCAAATCATGGTGCTGACCACCACATTTTGATTGTCCATCATATTTTAGATGACCGCCACCGGTAGAGCGATTAGGTATTTTACTTAAATGTTTTTGACCAGAAACCATTTATTGGACCATCAAACGCGAAGTATCAACGGTGCCTTCGCTGGTCTATTAACTACGGACGTTCTTGTAGTAGCCGAATGTTCTTCGCACAGATATTACACCAGGAAGGCATGTGCTAAAGAAGAAGAAAGTTATTTATAATTTATTTCACAGCTTATCAAGTTTATCAGCATGTTCAGCAAAAGCACCTTTTGTCACCTACGTACGCTGTCTGAAATGCTTCCAACCTAAGAAAAAAGATATATTGTCTTACTTTTATTTTTCGACATAGTCTCCTTGTAAATCTATGCATTTTTCCAGCGATCCTTCACTCTAATTAGACCGTCCAAAAAAAATGTAGACTCTTTCTCTGCAGTCTCTTCATTTGGCAAAAATATTTGTCCTCTGAGTGTTTCTTTTAGCTTAGGAACTTGGTGCCAGGTCTGGCGAACAGAGTGGGTGGTCAAGCAGTTTAAATCGTAATTCATAGGTTTTCGCTTTTGCAACCGCTGAGGAGAGAGATGGAGCATTGTCTTGGTGAAACATTTTTTTTCTTTTGCAAATGTGGCAGTTTTTCCGTAATTTCTGACTTCAGCTTGTCAAGTAACGTTACATACTATGCTCCGGTAATGGTTTTCCCTTTTTATGGTAAACTTTTGAGACAACCCCATCGCTGTTCCAGAAAACTGTTGCCATCGCTTTCCCAGCAGAATAAACAGTTTTTTTTTTTTCATTTTTGGAGCCGATTCTCCCTTCGCAGCCCACTGTTTTGACTGTCTTTGTGTTTCTGGGCTGTAATGATGAATCCAGATTTCATCACAGTGGGTACATGATTAATAATCGAAATCCCACGTTTTCGGTCCAAAGTAAGTAAATGCGGCACTCTACGTGCAGCCAGCTTGTGCATATCTAAATCTTGTTTCAATATGTGGTAAACACGTTTTTTTGGATATGCTAATAACCCGTGATGTCTCACTAACCTTGATTCGATGGTCGTCAGCACCATTTGGTGTATTTTAGCGATGTTGTCTTTAGTGGTTGCAGTTTTCGGCCGTCCTGAACGTTCATCGTCATCCAAGATAGAACGCCCACGTTTAAATTTAGCTGGCCAAAATTTCACACTAATAAATGATGGTGAAGAGTCCCCGTACACTGTGTATATCTCCTCTTTAATCTGAGTGGGTGTATTTCCATTCAAAAACAGGTATCTAATGACAGCACGATACTCCATTTTTTTCCATTATTGCAAAAACGGCCACATCAACTCATAAAAGTAATTGTCAAACAAAACATTTGCGTTCAAAGTAGCTGAAATTTTGATTGGGATTTATCATGTAATGCCCAAAGAAGTTTCACCACCCACTTCGGTTGAGTTGAAGTTACTTCACCCACTTCGGTTGAGTTCGCCCCAGAGTTACAACGCCGAATGAGGACCGGTATTTGGCAGTTACACCTACATGTTGAGGTCAGAAACGTTTCAGGCAGCCCTCGTATTATGCTGTGTGGACGATAATTATTTTCCAAACCTGCGCGTTGTAATAGAATATTAGTGTTATTGAATCACATCTAAAAGCCTCATATTTAACTTCGTATTATTCTGAAAGAGTGGTAGAAGCCGGAGAGCGCTAAATGTAAATACGATTATAAAAATCACAAAAACATATGTACATCCAAGAAAAGGGGATAAAGGACGTGGGAAATTGCAAGGCTACAAATAACCACGGTTTTTGAGTTGCCAAAAATGTCATCAAATCACAAATTCAGTGAGTCAGGTGGAAATTTGCACGCAGTCAAGTGAAATTTCCTATGTTCTGAGTCATACTTTTATAAATATTTCCTCTCTTTAGCAAATAGAATCTGTAGGTTATATTAGTCTTCTTCCTAAATTTAAATGTAAGCCTTTGATCTGGTGAAAGGAATTGGGAATAATGTTTGTTCCAAGTAAAACGTTATGCCCTCTCGAAACAGGTTTAGTTTAGTTGATTATGCAAAGCACACTAGGGCCATCTTCCTATGGGAAGGGGTCCCTTCTTAGAATCTTTTCTAAGGAACCTTGCTCGTATACACTGGCTGTACGTATAAATTGGCTCATATATATCTATAGTTTACGCTGTTCTTACATTGGAAAAACCACGAAAACGCCCATGCAGCCAACCCAGTTCGGAACTGCAAGTATTCAGCGATTTTACAGCTCGGTGACTGGTAGGCTTGTCTGATACAGGACAAGCTGTCCTCTAAAGTGCATTCAGAGAACTGCATCGTTACGTATTTACGCAACCACATTGGTGCAGTTTGGCAATTCTTTCAAGAGTCTTGTATGATGTTAGTTCCAAGTAAAAGGTTGCAACCATTTGATACAGGTTACACTTTTGGGCGGTATATTTCAATAAGTACTTACGTATTAACGCAACCACGCTAACACAGTCTGGCGATTTTTCACAGAGGATCAGGAATGATGACTTATAATTGCAGAAAGTAACCATCGCATGCAGACATATTTTTTTTTTTTACATCTTAACTGATATTTATTCCAAAAATCAGTCTATGGATCTATGTATAAGTGAGGGTTATTTTTTTATCTTTTTGTTTTGAAGGAAATTTGGAACGATCATTTTAGGAATAAGAACTGATGTTACTGTTAGCTATCTTGCGGTAAAATACTGTATTCCAACAAGTTTTACCACAGTTTATTTCATTACAGGCAAACCTTACAAGTGTATATTTTAAAATCGAGTTTAAAACAATAAAATATCATGACATGTACATAAGAAACTACTGGAATATAGAATAAAACAAAATGAACGCTCCAAAAATGATAATGTTGCTTGCTAAAATTAAGCAATTATTATGTGCATGTTTGCTAGAGTTTAGCAGATTCTGAAAATTTGGGGATTTCACATGAGCTTTTTAACTGCCGAGAAATGATAGTGCTGGAAATTATTTTTTATGTTTCATTTTATGCATTAATTTTGTGCATTTGTTTGCAACTTGCTACAGGATTCATTCAGTTATTCGTACTATTAATTTTGCTAGTTCATTTTTTTCTAATAATTTTAAATTTCTTTCAAATTCTGTCTTTAGTTTACGCTTTACGTTTTTTGGGATGTCATGCCTTTTCCTGTGTTAAGGTAAGCAAAATAAACAAATCACTATTTTCTCTGTTTCTAAATTTAATGTTTTATTCCAAAAAAAATCATTTATTTTACGTTTTAATTCCTAATTTAATTTCCATTCCTTAATGTGAGCATTTATTTAATATTTAAATATTACTTCATAGCTAGTATTTTACTTACTGTTTTTTGAAGTTTCTCAATTGATTGCTCAACATGATTTTGCAAGATAAACATTAAATGTTTATGTTTTATATTCATTCTATTTTCTATTTTCTTTTAATCGTTTGGTACATTTTAACGTTTTTTATTCGTGGGTATTTTTCGTACCACAAGACTTCTGAATACAGAATGAATAATTGTTTATTTTACTTAAATGATATTAAAACATTTATTTTAACTTATTCTGGTTTCTTTCAAATATGGGACTTAAAACTGTTTCTTATTATTATGAATTATTTCTTAAATTCGTCACAAAATGTGAACTTTATTTTAATCTTAGTTATTTAATTCGCAATGGAGTGTATTTCTTTTTCTAACAGTTTTCGTCTCGTCCATTGTAATTATTATTCTATTTTATTTTCTGTCTTTCTTTCTTCTCTTAATTTTTCATTTTAGAATCATTTACTTCTGGCAGTTATATAGGCATGCTATGTTACTTAAGCCTTTATAGCGGAGGAACACTTTATATAATTATTTCTTTTGTTGAGAAAAGGAAATAATTACTTTATATAATATGTTCTGCATTTATATGTATACGCAAATCTTCATATTACGAATTATTTCCTATTTGTAAGATTAATGTTGTTTCTATTCCAATTTCCAAAGTTTTTTCAAACTGTTATAATTCTGGCTATTATTTAAATTTCAGAGTTTTTATTCTAGTTTCTTTAAAGAAATCAAGTGCACAAAATTAATTTTCGCTGTATTACGGGAATTAATTAACAAAAGTTTAAAAGTTCTAAAGCAGACATTTCTTTTAACAATGCCTTCTTGCAGTTAATATTATTTCAGAATTTCCGTCACAATATTTCTTTCACGTTTATTAATCTATTTAAAGGATTAAAAAAATTAATTGCTTTGATGCTGTATTCAACCTTCAGTGTTAAAAACAATGCTATCTATGTGAAAATATTTATAGCAGTCAGTCTACTCGGTTTTCATTTGAGAAAGAATAAATATATAGCACGAAAAATAATTCCAGTTTCTTAGTGGCGTAAGTATGTAAACATAGTATCAAAATATCTCAGGGTTTAACGTAAAAAATAAAAAACTGTCCTTTTGTGCAAATGTAATGAAAATACACTCATGTCCATAAATTAAGGATAATTCGGTTTCACGCGGAAATCGAACTCTAAAGTAAATATATCACCTGTAAAATCACTACACACATCTTCAAGAATCATATGCAAATTTCAGAAAGTAACCAGATGACACCGATGGTACGTCACAATGACGAGAGTGTAAGAGAGTGATATATAAGGAATACAGGCAAAGAAGTAAAATTGTTCGCAGGCGCTTTATAAGCATTTCAGTGCAATAACCGAATAGTTATGACACAAAGGACGCTTTTGGATTATTTTTTACGTTGTAGAATTATCGGCCGTCTGGAATGTGGGCGTACCCAACTGGAAGTATCAGACGAACTTGGAATTGCCCAGAGTGTCATCTCCAGGCTTTGGCAACGATTCCAAGATGATGGTAATGTGAGTAGATGTTACAGCACAGGTCGCCCCAGAGTTACAACGCCGAATGAGGACCGGTATTTGGCAGTTACTGCCAAAAGAAACAGGCGGAGCACAGCCTCAGACCTGTCTCGTCAGCTCTCTTCAGTCACTGGTACGACAATTTCAAGGCAGACCATGTACAGACGCTTACGGCAGATTGGTCTATATGCTCGTAACCTGTCAGATGCGTTCCAATTACTGCAACTCACTGTCGCCTGCGGTTAGCCTGGAGTAGAGAGCATGCATTGTGGACACCGCAACAGTGGGCTTGTGTAATGTTTTCCGACGAGTCCAGGTTTAGCTTGCAGTCTAATTCTCGCCGGACCTTCATATGGAGAACTCCAGGTACCCGTTACGACCAAGAAAACATCATTGAACGACACCGTTACGGTTGTGCAGGAGTGCTCGTTTGGGATGCAATTATTCTGTGTTCCAGAACTGACCTGCATGTTCAAATTGGAACCATGACAAGCCAAATCTATCGGGACGTCATTCTGGAACAACATGTACGTTGTTTCGGGGCGCCATGGGGGCACAGTTTGTGTTTATGGATGACAACGCCCGTCCGCACCGTGCAAACATCGTAAGCGAATGCCTTCAATCGGATGATATCACCCGTATGGACTGGCCAGCATTCTCACCGGACTTGAATCCAGTAGAGCACGTGTGGGACATGCTTGGCCGACGAGTTGCAGCCCGTCAACCTCCTCCTACGTGTCTTCCGGAACTTCGGGGAGCATTGCCTTTTGACTGGTGTGATATCTCCCTAGATGAGATCGATAATTTGACACTCAGCATGCCTAGGCGTTGTACGGACTGTATTGCATCCTCTGGGTTACATACAATGTATTAACAATCATACCAACCATGTAATGTTGGTTTTTTGTAAATAAGAATTTTTTGTAATTTGCTCCAGGGAGAAAAAATCGCTAATTTTTTTAATAATATCAAACATATAGCATCTTTTTTTTGCTCTTTACCTTTTGTTTAATAAATAAGCTTTACAAATAAGTCAAATTTGTTTTGCTTCTAACTCTTCCTTTGCCTGATTTTGCATTATCCTTAATTTATGGACATGAGTGTAATTGATTCCCAGTGTTATTGATTCCCACAAAATTATTTTTCGCTGTATTATGGGAATTAATTAATAAAAGTTTAAAAGTTCTAAAGCAGACATTTCTTTTAACAAAGCCTTCTTGCAGTTAATATTATTTCGCAATTTCCGTCATAATATTTCTTTCAAGTTTATTAATCTATTTAAAGGATTAAAAAAATTAATTGCTTTGCAGCTGTATTCAACTTTCAGTGTTAAAAACAATGCTATCTATGTGAAAATATTTATAGCAGTCAGTCTGCTCGGTTTTCATTTGAGAAAGAATAAATATAAAGCACGA